TGCCAGGCACAATATCACTACACTAATTCTTGAAGTTAATTCAGAAAACTTACAATGCCACAATCATTCTTGTCAAATCTCATTAATGAATGTTAGTACTTTTCTGGAAATTATGCTGAACCTTAACCATTTTGGCAGTTTAATTGTTTAAGAATTATCAGGCTCGTCAAACAAATACGAGTTTGTTTCGGAACAAACTGCAATCAAAGTTATAGCTAGATTTTGGGTAAGCGTCTACACCAGATCTTTGCAAGGCTAAAGCTGTTCTCCCTGCCTGAAGTAAGGCTCGGATCACAGATAAGGCAATGGCGAAAGCCTTAAAAGAATGCTGTGTTTTCCAGAGCATCCGGCGTTGCCAGTGTGATAAATAATAGCTGCTTCGAATTGCGCACTAACAACGAAATGAGTCTAGAAAAAACAAGTAGAATTGCCTCAAATATAGGAAACTTCATAATATCAGCCCTCGTCAATTGCTTTTGCCATTACTTTTAACAATTTTAGACTGCAAGTATGCTAGTTTACAAGTCTCTTTTTGCTCTTGGAACAGTGCTTGCTTTTGCTTCGCAGACAGGTAGGTCAATTATAACCTCAAAACTATGGTGCACACATAGTTGAACAATGATATGTTTAAGACAAAGTTGCAAGCTAAATAATCATGTCCTAGTAACAAGCTGTCAACCACCGAATCCCGTTTATCAACGTGATTCTCGTTCCAATGTAAGATCAATCGATGTTCCCTCTGCTGGTCCTCCTGCACCACCGCTTCCATTGTCCCAAATCCCTTTCCTGGCGGGGAACGAGAGTGAGTCTTACTATAAGTTCCAAAAAGGATCTATTTGAAAAGAAACAAGCCTTAGCGCGCAGTGAATGTCGAGAAGACTCTATATTCTCGCTTCTTGCAGTTAACGATGATGCATCTTCTGATTTGAGAATGGGTTCGCTGAGCAATGAGGTTGAGAGACCTGGAGGGATAATTGATCAAGCACATTTGGCACCCCATAAAGGATACCTATCGTATCCTGGTTACATTCCACCGTCACTGGACTTTCCTACGCTACAGCCAAATGTAATCAAACTGGAGTTCTGTAAGCTACAAATTATTGCAATATAAAACACATATTACTTTAAGGTCGGCCCATTAGACCCTTCTCCCCACGTGAACGATATCGGTAACTCTGCAGCCAGTTCGCCAGCATTTGATCACGGTGGGAAAAAATATTTTCTTCCATTACCTCTTAAGTTCCAGGAGCTTATTGTAAAATTATAGTCCATTGTGCCTGCTATAAGTCATTGCAAAATATACGGTAGGCGAGTTAAAAGGAAATTGATTTTTTCCAGTTTTTTAGATTGTCGTATAAATCCTGGTTTCCTTGAAATGATTATCAACTCCAAAAAGCTCTTTTCATCATTTTCGCAAGTATTTCAGTCCTGAAATACCTTAGATGGCAATAAAAGAGTAAGATTGGCTCTGATGAGAATATATATATAATATTGGGTTGCAAAGTTTTTGTTTTTGTTTTAAATAATGCCGTAGATGGTAAATCAGAATTCACATTTTGGTGCTAATCATAACCAAAATAGGACCGATGGATGATATTTCGGGAAGTTTGAAGGTAAGCCTTTAATGAGCGCTGCTTCCTACGTAGATTTTGAACGTATACCATTTCTGAACGACTAGCAATTGCTACAGTTACGGTGCCGCGACCGCTGTGGGTTATACTAACTTTATGACAGTATAAATTTTACTTTCCAATTTAAGGAGCATCTCAGATCAATGAGCTTCGTGCAAAACTTAGCCTTAGGAGAAGAGTGCGGCAAAAGCCCTTTCGAATTTGAATTCAAAAACGAGATAAACTTTGAATTGTCTCTTTCAAAATAAGAAGAAGCAAATCAGGCCATGTTATCACAGTCGAAGTTTTCAAAGCTCAAGTACTTCCCGCGATTTTTATTAGAGCATTATAACAAATGAAAAAATTTTGACTTTTGATACAGAAGATTACTGGTAAATGTTTCTTTGGCAGAGAATCCATAAAATACTATTCTATTCAAGTTTTCATTAAGAAGTTTAAAAAAATGTATGAGAATGAGACATCGAATTGGCCTTATTTTCCAACAGCAACATTGCTGTGGCACAACTCTATATTCATGCAATCTCTTGCATATGCAGCAATAGGGCTAGGGTTTTGATGTTGTTCACAATTACGAAATTATATATTTCGATTTATCTCATTTCGGTTATATGTTATTTAATATCGCCGTGTTAAGTCCATGCGATGTCGTCGCTCCTAAAACTGATTTTGACGATTGGGTATCAGACCGTAAGGTGATTTGTAAATTTGTGTTGTCTGATTTTAGAACCTATTGCTTTTGAAGATTAGACCTTCGCGGTGATAACAGCATCAC